AAGAATGCAGATGACAAAAACTGTTGCAAGGAAAAGAATCTCCCACATCTTAGAATAAACGCGGCACTGCTAGAGAGGTTAGCAACGCCCTCCTTTCCTACCTTCAGGGTAGATACACATTTTTCCCAGGAAATATTCTCAATATGGCATCAAGGTCTTTAATAACCTCTTGGAATTTTCTTTAAGCAAATTAAGAAAGAAGGGAAACACTGAAACCTATGACATGGCAGTTAAGCAGGGAACTTTAATCATGGTTTTACTCTATTTGAGAACAAATGGTTGAAGATGTGAATTTATTTCTATTTGGCAACAGAGAAACAATGTAAAGTTTAAAATTCTCAGCCCACCCTTACTCCTGGTGGACTGTCACTCTATGGACACCACCAGCCTACTGGCTCTGCTACGAAGGAAAGCATGTTTCTACCCCAATTGGCTTAGTTTTTCCAGACCAAAATAAAACAAATAGATCAGCCTAGATACATAGCCCCCAGCCTTGTGTGTGTGCAGCATGACAAAACTTGCAGAAGATCTCCACAGAGAAAAAAGGATGGAGATGGATATCTTTGGAGCACCCTCAGAACTGGTACCTGCCACACAAGCTGCCCGAGTGCTTTGAGAGTCAGCAATACAGGCTCCCTATAAGCTCATCAACTTTATGAAGAAAGCTACTTGCCGAAGATTTCCACACTTTGCAAAGATAACCAAGTCTGGACTGACTGTGATCCGAAGGAAACTTTCCTAAGTGTGTGTGACTCTCGTTGTCCATCCCAACTTCACCTCTCAAGAAGGAGAGCTAGGAGTCACCTCCTGGAGAAGGGGTTGACTGCATTTTCTTTCCTTCTCATTTAAGCATCTCTGAAACGGAGGCAACTTCTCTGTCCCTCATTGCCTCTAACCATCACTACTAGCACCTCCACTCCTTTAAGGAAGTGATAAAGAGTGAGGGCTTATTTTAAACAGGGATAATCATTTCTGCTCTTCTGATTGTTTCTCCTTTAGGATCCAAAGCCCTGAGAACATTCAACTTGATCCCTGTTCTTTGCCACTGAAATTCAGAGACCAAAAGCATTTGTAAAAAGCTCCCCTTCTCCTTCACACTGTCCCCAACCCTTTAGTGGAAACTCCGGAGAAAAATCAAATTTAACGTTTCTTTCCTTCTTCTATTTCCTTTTTCTCTCCTCCTAATTCAGTTTTCCTTTAAAAGACAACTTTATTCCTTTCTCTGAAACAAGCAGTTTCCGGATTTGATTTTGGCTACAACGCGCATGTATCTGTGAGATTTTTCAGAGACTGATGCTGGAAGGCGGGATGGGGAGGCAGACCCCTCTTCCCGGGCTCCGTGGGAGGCAGGAGGGATGCAGGAGCATCCCAGGACCAGCTGCCCGAATCAGGGGCAAAAGCAACAAACTTTGCAAGTTACAAACGGGCCGCACCGGTGGCAAGCTGCAGCAGGGCATCTCCCGCTCCGAGTGCTCATTTCTGACTCCAAGGCTGTGTGGAGATAGTGGGGTATAATCAGGGGAAAGAAAAAGGGGGGCTGGGTTTTCCCCCTCCTCTCCAGCTTCAGTGAAAGTGTTACAAAGTGAGTCAGGCGACTGAGGATCATCTGACTGAACTTTCTTGAAACCGACACACATTCTTGTCTGCGGGCAACTCGCTTTTTGCCTCCTTCCCCCTCACCCCACTCCCTCTTTCCTCCTGCACATCTTATTTTCTGGGAAGAGATTTCATCCTTTCCATGTGGGGGAAAGGAGACTGACTGCCCGCTATGGGTTAACTTGGCCCTGGCACTGCCTCTGCCAGGCATCTTGCTAGCCTGAGAATCTGGAAGGTTGTATTTTAGATACTTGTTTCTCTCTTTGTACATTTATTTTTCTTCAACTGCCTCCCTCTCCTTTCCTTTTTATTAAATGTACACAGCATTGTCTTCTAACCCATGTTGTTGAGCAGCCTTTCAAACACACACACTGCTTTACACGTTTTATCTCCTTGTCGCCTTAGTCTATATATACACTGTTGACTTCATTAAAATTATATAAAGTGCCATTCTAGGTTCCTGGATGACCATTTTTTTTTTCCTTTCCAGCTTCTACTTCTATGATTATTATTGCCATTATTTCTGTCCAGGAATTTCTATATGATTTTGATAAGCATCATCATATTTAGTGTTATCAGCAAAGACACAAGCTCAAAAGTGACATCTTTTCCATGAATCCAGGAAAGAAGAAAAATCCACTCAGTTCAGATAAATCCTAGCAATTCCCAAAGGGAAAGGCATTGGATACGTGTTTGATGAGAAAGAAAATGAAAAAGGGGTGGGGTGGTAGCACTCTTCTACCTGCTTCTCAAAACCAGAACATTGCTCAGTCAGATTAAACCCAGTGAAAAACACTGACAAGTAACCAACATACAGCATGTTTTCCCATAGCTTATTTGGAAAAAGAGACAGGTAACAGTCAAAGTTAGAGAAGCTGTAAGCAATAGACAGGCTTGATGTTAACTGTGCAGGATCTGGGCTAAATGACTTAAAATGTGCAATTCAACTTTCCACTTCGGAATGTGGAGGCTTCTCCCAAGTTAGTGGCTGGGTGGAGGGGAAATACTTGCAGTGTCCATGACTGCGGACATCTCTGGCACTCCATTCCACCTGCGAAGCCCCCAACGGGCCTCCCTCTCTGCCAGGTCCCTCAGGGGTTCCCAGGAAGCCAGGATACCTCTATTTCCTTAGACCTGGGCTCTGGCCTGACCTCACTGCTAGGGCCAGGCTGGTCAACGGTGGCAAAATCCCGAAGGAGGAAGGCAAGAAGAAATGCACACTTTAAATAGTCTTCCCTGCAAAAGAACACTTCTGGGAGCCTTGTTTTAAATCTCATTCTCTTTTCTCTCAAAAAAATGACTGTTTAAGAGAAGGGGGAAAAAAGCCTCCTTGACACAAAGCTTTTGTTATCCAGTTGATCAGCAACGTGCTTTAGATACTTGTAAGAGGGGGAAAAAAGCCCCACAACAGACATTGATTTTAGAAAATCAATAACCAACATTTAATAAAAGGAACAGAGGAAACACAAGAGAGGAGAGGGGGACATTAGGTGCAATTTTAGTGTCTACTAAATTACTCAGAGATGGGGAAGGGGAGGTCTCCTGTGTAAGGACCACCTTAAATAATGCCAGACATCAGAGTGAAAAAAAAAATTAAATTAAGAGAGAGAGAGAGGGAGAAAGAGAGAGGGAGAGACTTAAAAAGCAGCAGCCTGAACTGAATCTTGGGGAAGCAGCTCGGAATATATTATTGTACTTGTTTTTCTGTAATACTAAGCCAAGCAAATAGATCAAAGACAGCACAAAGGGGAAAGGCAGGATAACGTAACGAACAGTTTCTGACTAAAATTCCTCTATCACTCCCCCATATGGTTCGACACCTCCACCACAACAAGCAAAAGACACACACACGCGTACACACACAAAACCTAGACACACACACACACACAGAGACACACACACACACACACACACACAGAGAGAGAGAGAGAGAGAGAGAGAGAGAGAGAGAGAAGCATCATTTGTCTCTAATCAAAATTCTCTCGTCTTTGTGTTTTGCTCCTTCCAGCACCTCACACTGCGCCCCCAGCCGCCCCCTCCCCGCGCCGCGCAGCTCTGGGGCAGGCCGGGGGCGCGCACAATTGTCTTCTCTAGAGGAAAGTTGCTCCAAGTGGGCCCGGGCGGTCCCCGAGAGGCGCGGGCTGGGGCTGTGGAGGCCGGGAGGCCGGGTGGGCGCTGCGTCCCAGCGCCTGCCTCGGGAGCGTCTACGCGGCCCGGCACCGGGTGATCAGGCGAGAGCGAGGGGAGCGAGAAGTTTCCTTTCCGAGTCTAGGCTGGCGCTCGTTCGCTTGTTTGTTTTCGGGGGTTGGTTTCTTTCTTTTTAAACTCAGTTATCCTCCGTCAGCTCCCCCACCCCCACCCCCGGCACCCTCGCTAGTCCCCAGCCCTCTCCCCTCCCCCAGGCGCCTTCCGCGGTCTTGCCAATCACTTTTCTCTTTTATTCCCACGATTTTGTTTGGGGTAATACCTAGGGGGTCTCTCTCTCACTCTCTTCCTCTCTCTCTGTTTCTCTCTCTCCCCCCTCGTCCCTTCTCTGGCTCTCTCCAAGATAGACCTACAAAACTGTCACCCCCCCCCTTAATATCCCACCTCTGATCGCGTGTGCCCCTCGAACCCCCATCTCCTTCCTCCTTCCTGACTCAGCCTGGATAACGGGCTCCTCCAGACCATGTAGAAACTGCCGGGAAAAGTCTCACTGCGCCCTGTGACTCCTTGAGTCCCCGGCCTGGGGGCCAGAGCCTGCTGGAGAGGAGTCATCCGTCCCCGAGCCATCACCGACCCCACCGGACCCCGCGCGGGGCCGGCCGACTCCCTCCCACCCCGGGGTCTGGGCGCGATGGGCCGGGCCCCGCTGCCCGCAGACCGTTACTTGGCGCACGGAGAGGCGGCCGGGCGACTCCGGCAAGAAACTTTAAGCCTCGCTGAGGCGCAGCCCCAGTTACCCTCTCCTGCCTTCGCAGTCTCTCTGCCACCCCCGCCCCCGCCCCGGGATCCTGCGCGACCCGGTGCCTGGGCCCCCGCCCTGCCCTAGCCGGACGCTCCCGAAGCCCGGCTGGAAACCCGGCGGGCCGGGCGCGAGCGGAGCGGGAGGCGGAGGCGGAGGGAGGGCGGAGGCAGGGGCTTGAGGGGGTCAGAAGGGTTGGGGGCGCGGGGCCCCGACCGGACCCCCCGCGCTCGGAACCCCCGGGCGCCTGACGCTCACTTTGCCCGGCACTTCCCCAACTCCCCCCGGTCCAGCAGCCGCGCGCGCCGGGCTCCGGCGCCGGCCGCGGAGGGAGGCTCGCCCTCGAGCCCTGGGCGCCGCCGCCGCCGCCGCCTCGATTCCTTTTCCCTTTCCCCCTCCTTCTCCCTGGGTCTCGAGCCGCGGAGTGGCCCGGAAAAGTTTGGTTCGGGCCGCTTCTTACCGTTTTTCCTCCTGGGATTGGCTTGTTTGCGCCTCTTGCACCGGGGGCCATCCGCCATGATCGGCTGCTTCATTGATAAGAGCGGATCAGATGGCAGTTCGCATGGACTCGGCGCCCTGCTTCGGCAGCACGCAGGCTCGATCTAGCAACCAAACACAGCGACAATGTGGGCATCGCCCGCGCCCATTGAAACGCGCGCGGGCCGCCCAGGGGAGCCGGGCCAGGGCCCCGGCGAGCACCCATCCGCGCCCCCCAACGCCAAAGCGAAACTTCAGCGGCCCCCTCCCCGCCCCCCACCCCCAGCCTTGGCCCCGAGGCGCTTTGTGTTTGTTACTGTTTGGTGTGTTGCACCCGCGAGGGGATCAGAGAGACAAGAATTACATCTTCAAAATGAGTCATAACTCCTGACCGTATGAGGGAATGCACACGGCGGTACAGTAAGACCGCTTGACTCAGGGCTAGGCGGACCCTTTCCTCCGAAAAGTCCTCAGCCCCCGGCTCGGGAACTTGGGGTGAGGCGAGGTTTTCTTTTCACTCTCATCTTTTCTCATCCCCCCCCACACCCCCCATTTCCCAGAGGAAACAAACAAACAAACAACGCGAAACAGCCCCTGGATGAAGCACACTCGGGCAAATTGATAATAGTAATTATAGGAAGCCCACTCGCCCAGCGCCCCCTCCCCTCCCCTTTTGGAGTTTATCGAGGCACTGTCTCTTCCTCCCCCCACCCTCGCCCCCAAATTAAGATTTCCCGTTTTACGCCGCAATAAGAAATATAATTACAAGCCTCTTTGGACACTGTCCTTTACCCCACCCTCCCCTCGCCACTTTGACAATATTTACAGTATTTCCCCCCACTTCACTCACACACATGCTCCCCCACACTGGTTCCCTGAAATAGTTCCAGTAGATTTTTTTTCCCCCTTAAGAAAGGAAAGAGAAAGTCCAACCACTACGGCAATACTTTTAAGCTCTACTAAATGATCGTATCCTTTCTGGCTTCGAAACTTTTGTACCTAAAAATCGAGAGAGGCGCTGCATTTTTTCAGCTGAAACTGTCAAAACTTGGAGAAGGGGAACCTCGGAGGCAGGCAGGAGAGGAGGAGAATCCTGAAAACTCGGTGGAGGTTGGGAAGATGCTGTGCCTCGAGGATTAGTTTAAACAGGGGGCTATAAAAGATGTAACAGATGCAAACTGTAACACAAGGGCCATTAACCCTTTCTCTGCCGGGCACACTCAGTCCCCACGCCCCGCACCTATTGTCTCCTGTGCTAGAAGCTTTGCAGAAAACCTGGAAAGTGAGTATCAGTTTCCACACATTTGCTGAGAAGGGTGAAGGGAGGGGGGCAGAGAGAAGGGGAAGTGGATATTTTAGAAAGCACCTTAAATTTACGTAGGCATACATAGTAGGAGACTTTTAAGTTTGACACATTTTATCATTTCTTTCCTTGCCCTATTGATTTGAAATTGTTAGGGGAAATCCTGAAATAAAGAAATGGTCACACAAGTGTCTGGGATGAAACAGCTGGCCTGTCTATATTCATCCTGAGACACACGACTGCATATAAATACATGTTTAATAAAGTAAGTTGCTAGTTTTATGGGCATGTGTGTGTAAAAGAGACAGGGCTTTTGTGCTGTAAACTTTATCTTCGCCTGTTACTCCTAAGTCTGGAGTTAGTAATCTTGCCTTCATCATTACAGGGGGAGCATGTAAAATATATCAGTAGGTGGGAGATAAACACATTCATGTTAGCCGGGCTCATCACTGTTCCTGGGAACTCCTGCTATCTCTCTCTCGACTTTTCAGTGCCAAAGTATAGAATGGGATATATGTGTGTATGTGTCTTCTATTAAATCCATGACTATATTACTTTGTCATTTAAAATACAATTTTAAAAGTTATCCTAATTTAAAACCCTGATATCCTGACAGCAGTTTTCTTCCCAGCTGTAGTGCCCCCCCTCCACTTTGGTAAACGACTCAAGTTCCATGAGGACTTTCACTTCTTTATTTATAATCACAGAAGTGAGGTGTTACTTCACACACATACACACACAAAGAATGAAATAAAGAAATGAAACTCGCTAAGCAGACAAAAACAGACAACTTTCTGCTTAGAAAACAGCCTTCTCGGTGGGAGAGGATGAACTGCCATGTCTAAGAGAAAGTCTTGCCCCCGAATTTGTAGGTCTGAAACTGACCAAGTTTTGTAATTATTAACAGGTATTTGCCAAGTCCTAATTGCTAAATATAATGAATTGGAACTAGATGCGAAAATAGAGCAGGACCTCTCCCCTTGATGAGTTTTTATTCCAGCCATATAATTCTCAATAAAACTTTTCCTGGGCTGAGTAGCAAAGGGCACCTTAGGTTACCTGAATGGACAGGTAAAGGGGAAATTATTTGGGGGAGGGAAAAAGGAGAGAAAAGCAAGGAGAGAAAGTGTGAGTGTAAGAGAAAGCGAAGAAGACACTCTTGAGAAAAGCTTGCCACAAAGAAGCTAAACCCACCTGAAATTCATACCCACGGACACCCCTTCTCACTTCAGACTCACATCCCCACTCAAAATGAGAAAATTAGAAAAGGAGGATGGAGGACGAGCACACCAAAAAGGGATAAAAAGAGAGAAAAGGGGAGGAAAAAAAACCTACCTGCGAAGTCTTGTTTGTAGTTTTGGCCAGAAATGGTGAGAAGAAAAAGCATGAAGAAGCCGCGAAGTGTGGGGGAGAAAAAGGTGGAAGCGAAGAAACAGCTCCCGGAGCAAACTGTACAAAAACCTCGCCAAGAGTGTCGGGAGGCAGGACCGTTATTCCTGCGGAGCAGGTTAGAACTGATCTCTTTCGGCCACTCCAGGAAACACAAACCTGGGGACGGACTGACGTGTTACGCCTCTTCTAATGACATTTTTTTCTTTTTCTTTTCTGTAGGAGAGAGACGAGAGACCCTGAAACACGCGCCACCTATCTTTGTGGGGAGGGATAATTGAAGCGCCCTGAGCGTGAGCATCATGTGAAAACGTGATCGCCAAGTTTCTCTCTGGGAAAGGATCTGGGATAGATTATACCTTGAAGTCTCCGCAAACGCTTTAGTGGAAGAAATGAAATTCCACCTCCCTCCCTTCCTCCTCTCCCTCCCTTTCGCCTTCGCCTCCCTCCCCCCTCCCTCCCTTCTCCCCCCCCCTCCCCCCCCGCCCGTCAAGCCTTTGGCATCATTATCCTCATCACTAAATCCTACAGAGTACAGGGCGGAAAACGGTGCACACCATTCACAGAACTGGAGAACTCCAAGGGGCGAAAGTTAAAGGGAAAGATCCCGGGTCCTCAATCCAGATCATCTCTTCTTATACAGATATCTCTAATGACCAGATTTGAGATGCACATCAAATTGTGTAGCTATCTCAGTACAGCTTCTGGAACAAAATTCACTGCCCTTTCCCTTATTATTATTTTTTTCTTTTTAGGTACCAGAGTCAGAAAAAAAAAAAAAAAATGCTTCATGAGAGCTGCATCTTAGGGCATGTGTGTTAGGGTGTGTGCATGATGAATTTCTGGTCTGGATCCCAATATTAAAAAGTAGTTTGGCATTTTAATAAAGGGTTTCTAAGTAAATTAACGTAGAACACTCGGTTGGCCGATCTCTGAATCTCTCTACACCTCGGGGTCACCTCACTACAAAGTAAGGGAGAATGTGTAGGGAGGCAGGAGGAGAAAAGAGAAAGGCCATAGAGAAACTTAGCAGGGAAGGGAGAACATGATATTAAACGGCATGGGGTCTAAGTTTTGGAGTATATATTTTTTGATATTACAATTAAAGTAAGATTAAAAAGAAAAGACTCCACCTTTGCTCTGAAGGGATTGGTTATGCAAATATGGAAGGGATTTCCTGGAGAATACAGCTTTCTACTGTATGGTTAATTAAATAATCACTCAAAAGCTTCCAACGTGACGCTTCTGTCGTAATCCAATCAGGTTACATAGGTCCTAAACAAGAAAGATATTTTCCACATCTGGAAGTCAGCAATTTAGCAAGTACTGCACATTATTAACCAATTCAGAGCCCACTTCCCAGGGGAATTTTTTTGAAGTTTAAGTGTTCTTAACCAATGCTCTGCTGTTTTGTTAATCAAAAAGCTGGTTTACACTGCACATAATTGGAACTAATATAGAAGTAAATAAAGACAGCCAAATTTGAGGATGCTGAGCACAGGCATTTATCGGAAAAGGAAGAAATCTCCTATCTTCGGATGGTTCAGGCTCAATTTCTTAAATAACTGTGAGACTTTTTTTTTTTTTTCCCCTAAAGAGTGAAAGTGCTTGAGAACCTCAGAGCACAAATAAACTTCTAGTCTCACAGCATTTAGGATCCTTCGGAAAGGTAAAGGTGGAGGTGTTAAGAGGACCAGAGAGCTGTCTCACACCACTTTTTAAGCTTTAATATTGTTAAATATGTTACACCCTCCTGTTTCCAGTCTGATGAAATCTGAAACAAATAATACCCTGATCCAACACTATATTAAGATAAACTGCTTTGAACTGTGCTTTGAATGTGTGCCTAAAGCAAGGCTTTGAATGCAAGAGTCACTGGCAATTGCACTCAAAGGAGGGACAAGCCACCACATGGGTTGCCACATCACACTCCCAGAGGTACACGTCTTTGTATTTTGTATTTTTTTTTTTTTTTTTGCGGGGGCGGGGGAGGGGTTAATAGCTACCTAGCACGACCACAGCTAGATCTTGTTCTAGGATGCAAGAAAGTAGATTTTCACAGTTGGTTACAGACTCACCTCTTTCCTAACTTAAGTATTTATTATAATGAAAATAGCTACTGGATAAATTAACTCTCTCCCCCCACCCCATCACAGATAAAGTGTCTATAGAAGAAAGGCATTCAGGATCTTCAGCTTAAAAATTATTAATAAATAAAATCAAAGATTTTCAACATGGGTCAGGCATATTCCTAATTTTATATTTTACATTTCTTTCATTATTATATCTCTATACTAAATATATGTGTAACTTATCAAGTTCCTCTTCTGAGATTTAGCACCACTGCTCATGTCCATTTTTCTTCCTCCTCCTTTTTTTCCTCTTTTTTAATTTAAAAGATTGGAGTCCAGCTTTCTCTAGAAGCTTGCTTCACAGCCACCCCTCTCCCACTCCTAAGGAAGAAGGAACCCTTTGAATATAGAGTGGTTCCAGGCAAGACTCCTCTTCAGGCACCCAGGTAGCCATTGGAGGCTTGCAGCCCAGACACACACACAAGCATAACCTCAGGTCAAAGGATCCAATCGAATAGCTAACAAAACACTTGTCTTTATTATGTATATTAAATGTCAGGTTACTTAGGATCTGACTGAAAAAAAAAAAAAAAAAAACCTAAGTATTTCCATTAAAAACACCTAATCATCTGATTACCCTGGACTCAGTAATCGTTCAAGTGGCAGGAGGCAGTCCCCAACATTTAGCACTGGGAGTTCCGACTGGCCAGTATTTAGTTTGGGGTGAAAAAGCAGTCTTCCAGGTTCCCATGAAGGTAGATGTTTGGATGGTGGCACGAGAGGGGTCTCCGCGAGGGGTGAGCGCTACGGCTAGGTTGCCTTGCCCTCGTTCCTGACTGGCACGCCCCTCCCCAGGCATTTGGCCGAGAGAGTTCCCAACGTGGCAGAGGTGATGGGGTCGGGAGGAAGCCGGAATATAAATTTGTTCCGAACACTCCCTCAGTCCGAGGGCCAGGTCGGGGACAATGGGGATCGTGGGATCAGGGGGACGCAGGAGCGCAGGACGCAGAGAAAAGTCGAGAGGACTGGGGGCTGCTGACTTTCGGCTCCTCACACAGCAAAATAAGTCCTGCAAATGAATCTCTCCTTCTCTGTCTTCCCCATTAATAATCCACTTCCAGATTAGCGCAGACGAAAGAGATTAAAATAACAGATACACGGAAATGTGAAATAATATTGCAATCAACATTGAAGGGGGAAAATAATTATTTAGGGTTTCCATGGGCAAAACAAACTGCCTCCCTCAGGATTCCCTCCACTCAGGCAGGGTGAGAAGGATGCACTTTTGTTTTCCAATTCCCTCCAGCCAGGACCTGGTGCCTGTCCCCCCATTCACCTCTCAGTCTGTCAATTTCCTCAACTTTCACAGCCGCTCCCCCCTCCCCCCGCTCAGCTTGGCGGCCCAGATGCCCGAAGAGATACAATGTTTCTGCCCTTGAACACACAGGCTGTAGAAGGAATTCGAATTTGGCCACAGCTAATGATTTTTTTTAAAGCAAATTCTGTTTATTTTGTACCATGTGGAGAAAATAAAAAAAGGAACCTATTCTCGTTTTGAAATGGAACTGATCTTTCATCTAGAGGAATTATTCGACCTTGTGTTGTGACTCAGGAGGTGGGCAACTTCTTTTGGAGTTGCAAGCAAAGGGTGATAAAGGGGACCCCTGGATTGGGTGTGTGTGGAGGGGGTGGGGGGCGGCAGGGGTCCAAGCCAAGCCAAACGGTTTTCTCACGTGCAGACTCGCAATCCAATCCTTTCGGAGTTGAGCCTAGGATAGGAGGGGAAAGTCTATTAAAAAAAAAAAAAAAAAAAAAATTCAGGAGCATCTCTCTGAGAAGCCCTTTCAAACAAAACCAAAACAGGACCAGAGAAGCTCAGACCGTCCCTAACATCCCTGCTGCGAGACCCGCAGGCTGTGGAATCTCGCACGTCACCTGGCCCCAGCAGGGCGGCCAGCTGAGGGGTAGATTTTATTTTATTTTTTTGAAGTAAAGGCTGAGTCTCGGCTTCAGGGCTTTTGCCAACGTCTCCACTGACAGGAACCAGCAAACTTCAGGACCCAAATGAGCATCTTAATTTATTGATGCTAAACAGGTCTGGTTGTTGTCCCCAATTTTCCGCGCGCTCTGCCACCTCCCCCCACCCCGCCCCAACCCCTGCCGCCAGCTTTGGTCCCTGCATTTGATCTCCAGGAAGGGCCCCGCTGCACAGGCGGAGGAGCGCGTCGGGGTGGGGGGGCGGTGTTCGGCCCCCTCCCACCAGACCGCCCTCCCCCAGACCTGTCCCCGCCCGGGATCCCGCGACCCCCGCCCGCCGCCCGGTCAGCTGACCTGGCTCGCTCGCCTGCTCCCCGCCCGCCGCCCTGTTTCCGGTCCCCGGGGTCCGCGAGCCGCGCTCCGAGCGGGCGCAGCCGCGGCCGGGAGGTGATGCTGGGGGCTGATTACCATGAGAAAGGCTGTGCCTGGAAAAGCCTCCTCCACGCGACTGTCAATCTCACTAAGGGAGGGGGGGGTGCGGGAGGGTACGGAAAGGGGCCCCGTAGGAGTCACCAGAAAACTTAGAGTAAGTTGGATGCGACGCAGGCCCGAAGAGGTGGCTTTCGCCTCAACTTGGAAGGCTGGGGCGTTGAGGGCGCGGACGCCAGCAGCCTCACCAGGGAATTGAAAACCAAAAATCTCCCTCCTGCTTTTCCTCCCTCTGGCCCTCCTTTCAGCCCTCCCTGCCCTTTATCCTTATTTTCTTGAAATTCTTTCCCAGTTGCATTTCCTGTGTTCTCCTTTCTATCTGATATCTCCCTTTTGCAATTTCTTGTTTTCTTTCTTAACATCCCCTCTTCTCCCTCGCTGTGATTCTTTTTGTGCCTCTTTTATGTGTCCAGATTTATCATTTCGTTTTGAAAACACAACGTTTAATGTGTAATTAATCTACCAGCAGGAGGGCGGGGACACCCTGACTAAAATAACTCCCCGGGTCTCAGAGACGACAAGTTCACCAGGTGTCAGTGAAAAGTAAAATAATAAAAGTAAAAATAAAATAAATCAATATTTCAGTGACCATAATGGTTTATTCTTCTATATTATTACATCAACTCAGACTGATAATTTTAAAAGACAAGATATACTCTTCCTGGAAAAAATGCATAATGCTTGGCATAGGGGCATTCTTTAGAATTAAGGCAATGTGAAAAAGTTTGTTTACAGCCATATTTTAGCAGTGCTTAATTTTTTAACAGACTTTAGAAATTACAATAGGTAATTTTGTGAAACTTAAACTGCGCTTTTCTTCTGGTGACTATTTGGAAAGGGTAAAAAATTCCCAAAACACTCCGCCTGACCCCCACCAAAGATTGATCAATTCAGAGAGAAGCATCATGGTGTCACGTATTTGGCACATTGCTAGGCAAATTCACAACTTGGGTTGCTGGGTTGTTTTCTTGGCTAGGCTAGGTTTCTGTCCATTACCTAGCAGGTGAGTGAGCATGAGGCCGCATATGTCATGGACATAACTGTCTTTGTTTTGTTTTGTTTTCTTTATTGTTATTTTTTGCTCTTCCCTTCGTTTTGGGCATATTTGTTGTTCTCATTAAAATTCAGAGTTTGCACTTGTTTACAATTTGTTTACTTTGTTGAATTTTAAAAACTTGATAGAAGTCAATTGAACATGTATATTTAGCCCTTTTTAGGCCAAGAAAAATAAAGATGCATTAGAAAGATGCCTTTTCTGCTTCGTAATTATTAATTGACATTTTATGATGAATAATTAATCATTTGAATAATTTTGGTATCTCTGATCTGAACACATATTTGCATATCTAATGCTTGATTTTAAATGTGTTTTTAAAAAATTCATTCTTTCAGGATGAAGAAACAAAGTCACATTTTAATGTAAAATTTCTCTTCTACACTTGTAAAAGTTTATTTATTGAGCTGTAATATTATTTCTCTATATCCATAAACTTCTTAACAATTTGTAAACCACTTATGAAGCAATCACACACAAATATGTGGCAGACTACAATTAATTAGGAAAAACAATACCCTATGTAAATCAAGTCACTTTCCTCCCCAAATCCAGAGATGTGCACTAATTATACACTACGTTTTCTTATCAGAATTTTGTCATTTAAATTTTTAGTTATGTCTATTAATTCAAGTCTAAACATGGAATTGAGGCAATTGACAAACAACTCAGGCCTGGTATTTAGGATCGTTTTTTATCTTTTACTTACTAATATATGGGCTGATTTATATTATTAAAAATAATTAAGTAAGCATATCCCTGATATTTTTATTCTCCTGTGCCAGTTAAAGTCCAAAGTATTAATATCTATTTTGAATACTAGCCCTGCAGATGACTACCTGTGTGATTATAAGCGATCTCCTATAAGCTTGTTTTATTTTTAATCTCCAATGTGGGCACACTAATAATGCCTATTCCTTGGGATTTTATTGAGAATTAAATGAAGTAATGCATAAAACTTCACTATATTGTAGCTGTATTATTATAATGAAAGCTTGAACAAATATACAGATCAACGAAAGATGGTACAAATTAATTTTGATTATTAAAAACAACAACTATTTACAGTATCTTTTTTACTGAAAAATCAGTGCTGTGTTAGTATGTGAAGAAAGAAAATGAAAAGCATTGTAGGATTTATGGCTGGTTTATGATTCTTTCGAACTGTTCAAAGGATGCGTGGCCACAGAAGTGAAAATAAATACAGTATTTCCTTTCTGTTAGTTCAGCAGTTAATTTCGTGTATTCAATATGGTCATAATTTGGTTACAAATATTAGACTTCTTTTGAAAAGGAATTTAATCCAAATGTATGAACTTGAAATTTCCCATGCTCTTCAGTAACAT